AATGGTCACTATTGTATTGACCTACCCTTCAGAAAGAATGATGTCATCATGCCTAATAATAGGTGCCTTGCAGAACAACGGTTAAAGGGCTTAAAAAGGAAGTTCAGTTGCAACCAGGAATTTCAAAAGGAGTACACCGCCTTTTTTGCTGATGTTATCGATAAGGGGTATGCTGAAGCAGTACCACAAGATCAGTTACTACGAGATGATGGTAAGGTGTGGTATATCCCACATCATGGGGTCTACCATCCTAAAAAGAAGACCATTAGAGTTGTGTTTGATTGCAGTGCAGTTTTTAAAGGAGTGTCCTTGAATTCACAATTGCTACAAGGCCCAAATCTCACCAACACATTGTTGGGTGTTTTGACCAGGTTTAGACAAGAACATGTGACTTTGATGGCAGACATTCAGGCAATGTTTCATCAAGTAAAGGTGTCACAGAAGAATGTGGATTTTCTTCGTTTCCTATGGTGGCCCAACGGTGATATTACGAAAAGCTTCAAAGAATACAGAATGAAAGTCCATCTGTTTGGAGCTATTTCATCACCAACCTGCAGCAATTTTGCTTTGAGAAAGCTTGCAGAAAATTACAAGGATTGCTTTCCAGCCAAAGCGTTGAATTCTATCCTGCATAACTTTTATGTAGATGATTGCTTATTATCTGTTCCCACAGAAAGAGAGGCACTTCAAATGGTCAAAGACTTAACTGCAGTCTGTTCCAAAGGAGGATTCCAGTTGTGCAAATGGATAAGCAACAGCCGTAAGGTGTTAGCAAATATCCCAGAAGAGTGTCTGGCAAAGTCAACGAAAGATCTCAACCTGGATAAAGACAATCTACCTGTAGAAAGAGCGCTCGGGTTGTATTGGTGTATAGAATCTGATGCATTCATGTTCAAGATTGCTGTTAGTGAAAGACCACACACAAGACGAGGCGTTTTGTGTATTGTGAGCTCTATTTATGATCCCTTGGGATTTCTTGCACCTCTAATACTCCCTTCCAAGTTGCTATTACAGGAATTGTGCAAAAGAAACATCGGATGGGATAGCGAGATGCCACAAACCCTTTCACGCCAATGGTCTGAGTGGCTGCAAGATCTCAACAAGATAACCATGGTGAAAGTTGACAGATGTATCAAGTCAAAGGATTTTGGAATGATCAGGACAGCTCAGTTGCATCACTTTTCAGATGCAAGTCAATGTGGTTACGGCACTGTTTCCTACTTGCGTCTGGAAGATGAAACTAAAAAGGTGAGACTTTCCTTCATGCTTGGAAAATCTAGAGTTGCTCCTTTGAAACAAATAACTATACCAAGGCTTGAACTTGCAGCTGCTGTTTTAGCAGTCAGAATTGACCTGATGCTTAGGAAGGAACTCCAATTAGACCTAGATAAGTCTGTGTTTTGGACAGACAGCCAAACTGTACTGAAGTACATTGCCAATGATGCCAAAAGGTTTCATACATTTGTTGCAAATAGAGTATCGGTCATCAGGGATGCAACAGATGTTGAACAGTGGAGACATATTGGTACAAGATTGAATCCTGCTGATGATGCCTCTAGAGGCATGTCTATTGAAAACTTCTTGAAGTCCAGCAGATGGATACAGGGTCCAGATTTTCTGTTAGAAGCTTCGGAAGAATGGCCACTGTCCTCTTTTGACCAAACTTTGATGAATGATCCCGAGGTAAAAAGGGATACAGTGGTAAATGCTGCTATTTCAAACTGTCCTGACAGTGCTACTCATCAACTCTTGAACTATTTTTCTGATTGGACAAAACTGAAAATAGCAGTGGCATGGATTTTAAAGTTTAAAGATGTTCTTTTGAAGCTCAAACAACAAAGAAAATGCATTCAGTCCTCATTCAATTCTGGAACGAACAATTCTACAGTAGAACAGAACAAAGTGGATGAGGAAATGAAAAGGTTTCGAACTGGATTCTTTGGTCAAAATCTTACACCAGATGATCTTTCTCGAGCAGAATCAGCAGTTATTGGATTTTCTCAACGTGAAGCATTCAAAAAAGAAATTTCTTCCTTGCAAAGTGGAACATCTGGAGTTAAAAGGAGTAGTAACCTTTACAAGCTTGATCCAGTATTGATCGATGGTTTACTTCGAGTGGGTGGAAGACTTAGTAGAGCAGCAATACCAGAGGAGACAAAAAGACCAGTTATTCTACCGAAAGAACATAATGTATCCAAACTTATCATGCAACATGTTCATAGACAACTAGGTCATGCAGGGAGAAACCACATGTTGTCAACTTTACGAAAGAGGTACTGGATTATTAATGCAAACTCTGCTTGTAGGAAAGTAATCTCTGAGTGTGTTGTGTGTCGACGATTTCAAGGCAAAGTTGGGGAACAAAAAATGGCTGACTTGCCAAAGGAAAGGATTACATCGGATCTTCCTCCCTTTTCCAACACTGGAGTGGATTACTTTGGACCTGTTGATGTGAAGAGAAGTCGCAGTGTCGTTAAAAGATATGGAGTTTTGTTTACGTGTATGGCCAGTCGAGCAGTACACCTTGAAGTAGCCTATTCCCTGGATACAGATTCTTGCATAAATTGCATTCGTCGTTTTATGTGTCGTCGTGGCCAAGTATTGCAGCTAAGATCTGATAATGGCACTAATTTTATTGGAGCAGAGAAAGAGCTTAGAAATGCTTTGAAGAGTTTGGATCATGATAAAATTCAGCGTACCTTTCTATCAGAAGGAATAAAATGGATCTTTAATACACCTGCAGGATCACATCATGGAGGCGTATGGGAGAGGCTCATTCGTCTTGTAAAGAAGGTGTTGCACTCTACACTTCGACAACAATGTTTAGATGATGAGGGCTTTCACACTATTCTTTGTGAAGCCGAAGCTATTCTTAATGACCGTCCCATCATAAAGCTTTCTGATGATCCAAATGACTTGGAAGCACTTACGCCGAATCACATCTTGCTGTTGAGATCAAAGCCATGTCTTCCTCCAGGACTTTTCCAAAAAGACGATTTGTATATCAGACGTAGATGGCGACAAGTCCAATACTTGTCTGATTTGTTTTGGAAAAGGTGGATAAAGGAATACCTTCCACTATTACAGGAAAGACAAAAATGGAGGAAGCCACATAGAAACTTCAATGTTGGTGACATAGTGGTTATCATGGATCCAACTGCTCCACGTGGTTCCTGGTCACTAGGCAAGATCACTCAGACATATCCTGATAAAAAGGGATTTGTCCGCTCTGTACAACTGAAGACAAAAACAGGATTGCTGGAAAGACCAGTTTCCAAAATCTGCCTGTTATTAGAAAAAACAATGGACTGATCCATAAAGAAGTAGTACACATACACCTTTTTTGGCTCCTTTGATAATTTAAGAGATTAATTGTAGTTGCACACCAACAATTATGGGGCCGGCGTGTAGGAGCCTATATGTTGACTTAAATGTAATTTGGGCTGTCACCACTTGGGGGCAATATGTGCACATAGGGTTTTAAAGTCGGTGTTTCTTGCATGAGAGAAGAAGACTTGAGGAAGGGAACGCATGCAGTTTTTACCACACCAAACTCACACACCTTTGAGGTCGCTAAAGGGTTCAAAATATTTAATTGCAAGTATGTATTTATAATAAGTTTAATAAAGTGAATTTAAACTTGAAGAGGAAGCAAGACTGGACATTGGTTGTGTGCGTAAAAACGTGCGTTGAGATGCTAAGCCTTCGACAATAAGCTGCTGCAACACCAACAGTGGGTCAAACATGAACAAACTCACTCACCTTTTGAGGATAATAAAATCAATTAAAACTAAGTTGAAAAAAAGAACTATACTTATTATCTAACACTATAAATTAACTAGTTTAACTTATGGCTGGTCCTCATTTGACCCAATGTTGGGTTAAAAACAACCCAGCATTTTCTGTGTAAAACACATGTGCGCCTCCTGCTGGACACAATAATCACACTGACACTGCATTTACAAGACTTGAATAAGCAGATGGTCACTTGTTTATATACAGTGTGTGTGTGTGTGTGTGTGTGTGTGTGTGTGTGTGTATATACACACACTTATATATATATACATGCTTATAACAAATAAACAATAAAACTTTTTAATTTACTAGAACATTTACTCAATAAACCAAATGGCCCATTTAAATGACTGTAAACATTTCCTTAAAAAAGTCCTCCTAGAAAGCAACAGATTCACTCTAATATAAAATATACTGGGTTGTTTTAACCCAACAGTGGGTCAAACATGAACAAACTCACCTTTCGAGTAAAATAAAACCAATTAAATTTAGTTAATTAAAAAAAAAGTTAGTTAAAAAATGAACTATACTTATTACCTAAAAGTATCAATTATCAATTAAAATTATTTAAATTATGGTTGGTCCATATTTGACCCAATGTTGGGTTAAAAACAACCCAGCATTTTCTGTGTAAAAGGCATCATGTGCGCCTCCTGCTGGACACAATAATCACACTGACACTGCGTTTACAGAGCTTTAATCAGCAGCTGGTCACTCGCTTTTTATATATCTGCTGGGTTGAAAAGTACTGGGTTGATGTGAGCCAACATTTGGAAAATTATCGAGTGTAATATAAAAATTTTACCTTTTTATTTCATAAAGCCGACCCCAACAATTATAATAAACCTTTTAATCGACTAGAATATTTACTGATAATAAACCAAATAACCCATTTAAACGGCTGGAAATATTTCACTTTAAAAACCATTTGACTTCAGCTCCTAGAAAGCGACAGGTTTACTCTAAAATTAAATATACTGGGTTGTTTTAACCCAACAGTAGGTCAAACATGAACAAACCTAACTCCTGGGTAAAAAAATAATTTAAATGTAACTAAAAAAATTAACTATGATTACTATAACCACAAACTAACTATAATTATTTTAACTATGGTAGGTCCATATTTGACCCAATGCCGAGTTAAAAACAACCCAGCATTTTCTGTGTAAAACGCCTCCTGCTGGACACAATAATCACACTGACACTGCATTTACAGGACTTTAATCAGCAGACAGTCACTCGTTTATATACAGTGTGAGGATATACACAGATGCTGGGTTAATGTAACCCAATATTGGGTGAATTCTTTTTATAAAACAAAGTACGTGTTTACTCTGGCATATTCAAGAACATATACTGTAAAAAAACTTTCTTTACTGTACAAAAGGGAGTAAACCTGTTTAAATGGAAATCCTCTTCACATGTAGAGCGCCTCAGTTTGTCAGTTCAGTAATGGCCGTCTGTATTTTGTGCTGCTTCTTTTTTCGTTTCATCCTTATCTGCAGGAGGACTTCTTTCTCAGCGATTGCAGCGACTCGACAGTATTCTCTCACTGCAAATACGACACAAACACACACATGAGAAACGCATCAATACACACAACAGCTCATGTTCACGTCAGGAATCACATGCAGCATTTTAAGGCAATGAAAAAAACTACCATTGTCACTTTACTTCCCCAGAGATATTAAAAGAAGATACTTTGAAGAATGCTGACAAGTAAAATCCTGTAACCATTGACTTTGATAATGACTTTGTCACAATACTTCCCCAGAGCTCTTGTATGCCAGAAGTTGCTTTAATATTATGTCAGTATGATGACACATTTTCAATCTAAACAGAATATTTCAAAAGAAGATACTTTGAAGAATGCTGAAAACCTGTAACCATTGACTTCAATAACTAGTTTGTCACTATACTTCCCCTGAGTTCTTGTATGCTAGAAGTTGCCTAAATATTATGTGAGTTTAATGATGAATTTCCAACTGAAACAGAATATATCAAAAGAAGATACTTTGAGGAATGCTGAGAAGTGAAATCCTGTAACCATTGACTTTGATAATGACTTTTTGTCACTATACTTCTCCACAATTTTTGTATGCCAGAAGTTGCCTAAATATTATGCGAGTATGATGATGCATTTATAACTCAAACGGAATATCAAAAAAAGAAGATACTTTGAAGAATGCTGAAAAGTGAAAAGAATATTTCAAAAGAAGATACTTTGAAGAATGCTGAAAAGTGAAAACCTGTAACCATTGACTTGTATTGACTTTTAAAAACACTGCTGTAGCCACTGAGCCACTAAGTATTGTTCTTATGATGTTTTTCAATAGGAAGAAAACGCAAATTACTTCCAAACACTTCAGATATAGTCTGTGTTAGTAAATGTAAGACTATTGATGAAATCCAGGCGTAACACTTCATGACAATGCTTCAGATGACTGTTCTAGAGCCTACAGCTAATCAATCTGACAGATTCTGAAGTGCATTACAGCTCTAAAGAAAAATATAAATGATCTTAAATAAAACAAATACACTTATAGAGATGGTATACAAGCATATAATTTCACTCATTTCCCAGAGATGGGTTGCGGCTGGAAGGGCATCCGCTGCGTAAAAACTTGCTGGATAAGTTGGCGGTTCATTCCGCTGTGGCGACCCCGAGTTAATAAAGGAACTAAGCCGACAAGAAAATGAATAAATGAATAATTTCACTCAGCTTGGAAATAGAGGCAACTTGAACGGTTTGTGAGCACAATTAAGTGCACACAGCATGCCATATCATCTGATAATTGCAGGAAATAATTCCAAAAGGCAACTGACTGCTTAAAGAAACATTAACCAAAACAAAAATACCATGTATATGCCGAGCTCAGCGGCTAATATAGCCGGAATCAGCTGAGGTGAAAAGACACCGAGCAGCGAGACCTAGGGGTCACTCAAGTGGCCACGTCCATAATCATGCAGGCTTAATAGAACATCAAGTTTTTTTTTTTTTTTTTACAAATGAGTTATAAAAAAAATCCCCCCCTCACAGTTGTCATGAAGGGTAATCATAGCTATATACACCAAAGCCATCTTTTGTACGGGGATGTAAACATGTTTTAATCAGCTGTAAATATGGCCAATTTCCCACTGCAGTCAGAAATCACCTGGACTTCCTGCAGTTCTCCTGGACTTGATTTGCAGTTTCAGTAACTTCAGTACTGGCTTCCCGAGGGAGAGCAGGAAGTTGGCGCTTGGATTGTACGAATTCATATGAATTAGCCACTAAATCAAAAAGCTATGAATTGCTGTGAGATTGTGTTGTCCTCAGGATCCAGCTCTATGTTTTATGTTGATTGTATTAAAACAAAGAAAACAATCTGAAGTTGTTGTTTTTAAGTTATATATACCATGATTTTACCAGGCCAGCCCACTTGGGATTAGATTTTCCTCCATGTGGCCCCTGAGCTAAAATGAGGTTGACACCCTTGAGCTAAACAATCCGTGCTCTGACATCAAAAGAAAATGGGTGCAGGCCAAAAGTGTTAGTGTGAAAGCACCCTGAGTGTTTGTTTGAACCAGATCCTTTGGTTAAAGGGTCACGAAACACCAAAACACATGTGTTTGAGCTGTTGACAGTGGTATATGTGTCCCACACTGCTAAAAACACTATCAGGACACCTATATTTCACTAAAAAGTGTAAATTGGTTGTTTTTTGCGTTATTTTAAGCAAATTCGTACTTCCGGTTTGAAACTAATTTTTGAAGCTGCGTCACGGTCATGACATAATAGCGTGTATTCCAGCGTGCAGACTGGACGTCTGTGCCTGTGAGTATAGCTGCGTCCCAAATGGCACACTATACACTATGCACTCATGCACTATGTACTTATGCACTTACACACTCAACAGGATAGTATATGTATGTAGTGTCGTCCCAAATGGCACACTAATGTTTTTTTTACTAAACGGAAATTCAAACCGTTTCCCTGATGACGTTTGACGGTTGCCAAATTAGTGAAATAAACGACCGAATTATCAAATAATACCTATCGTGAGAATTGCCGCATTCACCATCGGGAGGCGCTATAATCACTCTCGTAGGAGAATTTTGCTTTCACTATCCAAAATAAATAAAGTTATCCAACATGTGCGTCCGATAGCTCCGCCCTTTCCGCTACGTAAGCAAACCTGCGGTCGTTGAGTGCGTGAAGTGTCCATCAATACACACTTCATTTTAGCGGCTGAATGAGTGCATCATCCGGGTAATTAAAGTGCACTTATTATTTTAAGAGTTTTCAGTGTGAACACACTACTTACACTATTTATACTACAAAATGGCGTAGAATAGTGCATAAGTATGCGATTTGGGACGCAGCTTGTGTCTTATTACGTCTTACAGTGTGTTGCATTAATGCATGAGTAAGGCTTGGTTCAAACCAATCAGCGCGCTCTATTGTGCAACTTCATTAATATTCATTACTGTCACAGTGTTTAGACGACAGAGACGCCACGTTGTGTTGGCAAAACAAGCGTGAAGTGTTGCTTTTATAGTTTGCTGCAGTTAAGTTTTGTTTTCATTTTCTCTCTGTGAGAGCTCAGCTGGAGTCACGTGTGGATTAACAGTGTACGCGACGCTCGACAACAATAACTTACGTGTCTAAGGAGGATTATTGTTTACCTGAGAGCTGTTCTCATCTGCAAACGCTGAAATCCGGATACGCTTGTAGTCTTCTCTTCATAAAGACGCGGCTCTAGTTGCTGGTGATTGTCCTGTCTCTACAGATTTGGTAAGTGAGCGACCAGTGCTCTTTGTTTATTCAGTTTGTTCGTATCGAACTAAGTTAACTATTGCACAGAGTGTAAACATGTTAGCACTACAACCAAACTTTAACCTCATGTAGGGTTTTTACCGCATTTTGTAACCGGAATAACACAAGCGGCTTTCTGACACTACCTGCCGTGTGCATCTAAGTTTCCGGGAAATGCGGAGGTTTTTTTCTCTCATTCGCCGTGCGGTATCAAACATTGCATGAAAAATACACGCTTAGAGCAGTTCCTCCAATCAAATATAACGTGTGTCGAGAGGGGCATGAATGAATTCCCTGAATGAAAGAGCCAAACTGCAGTTAAAGTCCAACGTTTAATAATTTGGCAAATAATTCGACTACAGATGTCCATGTAGGTTAAACACCATCACTTTCTATTTTGACTGAAACTCGCGCGTGCCCAAATAGACACTCCCACACCCTCCCACTTTAGTTCCTCCGACACTCCCCCCTAAACAGAGCTGGACACGCCCACTTTTCTGACTTTTTCCAAAGTAGAGGTGTGAAAACACCCTGCTGAAACGAGGGGGTTTCATGGCCCTTTAAGTGTGCAACCCCACTTACCTAGATTGCCCATGAGTTGTAACAGTATATCGACATTGATCTCTCCTCTGGAGGCTGTTATCAGTCTCACACTATTTTTGTCTATTTTCTGAATGTTGTGATAACACCATGGTGGAGTTGTTCTGTTATTAATTCAGCAAACAGGATTGTAAATATAATGAGTTGTTGCTCTCTCTCATTCACTGTGCTCTGAGTTTACCAACTATGACGACTTCTGCTGCTGAGAAACCCACAAATGTGAAAAGGCTCAACTATACACTCGTGGAAGTTTTGGACCTGCTCTACAGTGATATACTCAGCTGTTTTCATTGATGATCCTCAGACAGTCCTTCTTGATGATCATCATAAGTTTATGGTTGTCCATCCAGTCTTTGAGGCTGAGGAAGTCTCTGAAGTGTAAAGGTACCCAGAGCGAACGCCGCACCTTCCACTCCTTCTGTATAATCTCCTGCCACTTCCTGAAATCAACGTCAACACAACCAATGAGCAACAAAACACAACTGACACCTACTATTTATACAGCTGAATGCAAAAATATACACCCTCCTGTGAATATTTCCCAAATGCTGTTTAATTTAGACCCAACTTCCTAGCCCATTCTGTGGAACCTAATCTGCGCTCAAGTATTTTTGAAGCCATATCAATATACAGATGAAGCTGAGAGGATGGTACATTTGAGAAGTGTTCAGATCTACTACAGGGTTCAACGCTAAGGATTTTTTATACGGGTCCAATCAGGCCATTGGTTGAGATTTTTACTTAACAAAATTTTCACTGGCCCCACCAAAAAAAAAAACTAAAAAGTTAATAGCTATTTCTTAGCCACATATTTTAAATAATGGCAAAATTATGCCTGTGAATCTAGAATTTAAACATTTTAAATATGTCAATAAATGAACAATGAGCAAAATTCTAGATTTTATGCAAATGAAAGAGCGGTATGAAAAATGTGCTGGTATTTTAATGCAATTGTAAATAATTTTTATAAAAATGGCTTGCCAAACTGACAACTGTTTTTTGTTTTAATTTTTTCAGTTTCTAAATTTTGTTCTAATGTAATTGTCTGCTTCTAATACTTTAGAAACAGACGTTTTCATTGTTTACAGCCTCATTGTTTAATTTTGCCGCCATGTTGCCATCTTTTCGCTGTACTGGTTGTACAGGTTACAAAAAAAAAAAAAACGTGCTCAACTTTACTGGCCGATAGGGGCCAGTAACAATCCTGTCTACTGTCCCGAGTGTCTTTCATGCTGGCCCTGGGCCACCGGGCAGTCTTTATTGTTGAGCCCTGTACTATGTGGGGATTTTCATTTGTGTGATTTCCTTATCTTTAAATTGTTCAAAACCTGAGTTTCTGTCTTCTCACACAAAGGAAGATATTCTGAAGAATGCTCGTAAAAACGCCATTGACTTTCATAGAATCTTTTTGTTCTTACTATGGAGGTCAATGGCAGCTTTTATCCAGCATTCTGCAGAATATCTTGTTTTGTGTTAAACACAAGAGAGAAACTCAATAAAAGTTGATCTTTATTTGAGTGTAAGTATACAGAGAGGAAACTTTTTTTGGTGTATTTCCCTTTACATAAATAAATAAATAAATAAATAAATAAATAAATAGTGTATTTTTTCCCCTTAAAGGTTTTGTGAAAATAAAAATGTATAGTTTTTAAGATGTTCGTTTTAAGGATTTACACCCACTGGCCACTTTATTAGGTACACCTGTGCAACTGCTCATTAACACACATTTCTAATCAGCCAATCACATGGCAGCAATTCTATGTATTTAGGCATGTAGACATGGTCAAGAGAATCTGCTGCAGTTCAAAGCGAGCATCAGAATGTGGAAGAAAGAGGATTTAAGTGACTTTCAGAGACAGAAACACAATTTTCTACATCTTGTTTATATACACTATGAACAGCAGCTATGCTAATTATTCTCTTTATTCTCCATTTCCACCTGGGGATACTCATGCCGAGGTTCTCAGATTATGCAGAGTCACTGATTGGACCCAAGACCAGCGAGGAGATGATCCCAAGGTTTCCATATCCGGGACCAGGCCGTATCCTGAGCTGCTGCTGCTGCACTGTTGGTCATGGGGGAGTGGAGAGCATGAGACTGATTCCAGTGACGCTCCAGGGACAGACGAGTCTTCGCTGAGGCCAGCTTCCAGCCTCCACCGCTGAGACTGCAGCTCTGCACCAGACGTTTGGCGGCGGAGAAATTAAAATGGTCGTGCCCAACTGAGTCTGGTTCTCTTAAGGTTTTTTTTCTTCACTCTCCTATTGACAAAGTTTTTTTTCCCTTTTCACTGTCGCCACTGCCTCGCATGGTTCAGGATCTGAAAAGCGGCACATCGATGAATTTGCTCTTCAGTGTTTGGACTCTCAATAATGACTTCAAACCACACTGAACTGAGCTAAACTGAACTGAACTTAAACACTAAAACTGAACTACCCTGATCCAGTTACTATGACCATTTCTGTGAAGCTGCTTTGACACAATCTACATTGTAAAAGCGCTATACAAATAAAGCTGAATTGAACTGAATTTAATTGAACTTTGAACGTGGCATGGTTGTTGGTGCCAGACGGGCTGTTCTGAGTATTTCAGAAACTGCTGATCTACTGGGATTTTCATGCACAACCATCTCTAGGGTTTACAGAGAATGGCCTGAAAAAGAGGAAATATCCAGTGAGCGGCAGTTCTGTGGGCGCAAATGCCTTGTTTAAGCTAGAGGAGAATGGCCAGACTGGTTCCAGCTGATAGAAAGGCAACAGTAACTCAAATAAGCACTCGTTACAACCGAGGTCTGCAGAAGAGCATCTCTGAACACAACACGTCCAACCTTGAGGCGGATGGGCTACAGCAGCAGAAGACCACACCGGGTGCCGCTCCTGTCAGCTAAGAACAGGAAACTGAGGCTACAATTCACACAGACTCACCAAAACTGGACAATAGAAGATTGGAGAAACGTTGCCTGCTCTGATGAGTCTCCATTTCTGCTGACACATTCAGATGATCGGCTCAGAATTTGACATCAACATCATGAAAGCATGGATCCATCCTGCCTTGTATCAACCATTCAGGCTGGTGGTGGTGGTGTAATGGTGTGGGGCAGATTTTCTTGGCACACTTTGGGCTCATTAGTACCAATTGAGCATGGTGTCAACACCACAGTCTACCTGAGTATTGCTGCTGACCATGTCCATCCCTTTATGAGCACAGTGTTTCCATCTTCTGATGGCTGCTTCCAGCAGGATAACACACCATGTCATAAAGCGTGAATCATCTCAGACTGGTTTCTTGAACATGACAATGAGTTCACTGTACTCAAATGGCCTCCACAGTCACCAGATCTCAATCCAATAGAGCAGCTTTGGCATATGGTGGAACGTGAGATTGGCATCATGGATGTGCAGCCGACAAATCTGCAGCAACTGCGTGATGCTATCATGTCAATATGGAGCAAAATCTCGGAGGAATATTTCCAGTTTCTTGCTGAATCTATGCCATGAAGGATTAAGGCAGTTCTGAAGGCAAAAGGGGGTCCAACCCGATACTAGTAAGGTGTACCTAATATAGTGGCCGGTGAGTGTATATATGCTTCAAAACATTAAGAAATTTACATGTAGGATATATAAACCTTGATATACATCCAAAGCTTACAGTTTGTCACTTTAGTCTAAATGGATTAATTTGACGTCACCTCATACTTCAGCTTCTCATCAAACCTTCTGACCAATCGAATGCGCTATAGTGTCTGACATGCCCCGCCCTTTTCTTATCATTAGCTTTTCATTTGATCTGCTTGAGCTCAACCACTCTCACTGGCAGAGCTGTGAGAAATACAAAACACTATTGACTGTTCTTTTAAAAAGGGGAGTGGCTACTCTAGGTCCCGCCCTCTCTTCGCGTTTCAGTTGAGATTACGTCAAACATCGAATAAAAATGCATATTTAAAAGCACTTCACCGGACTGTTAACAATGCCATTTTGACTCACTCGGACTTATTTTCCAGAATATTAAATGACATTAACAAAAACTTACTTCTTTCTAATTTTCTTCAAACATGTCAAAAGGCAGTCCCAAGCCCTAATATCAGTTTTCCAGCTGGAAAACTCCAGAAGGTCCATACAAACAGCGAGAGCTTCTTCAGTGTCACTCCTTTCCACTAGAAAAGCAAGCAGAAACACTTTTAAAGTCTCTAATTTGACACATTTCAGGCAGTGACAGTGACGAGTAATGCAGTAAACAACAACAACAACACATGCACCACAGACTACACAGAACATCCTCATAGACTGTGTAACCAATACCAATTCATTAATTCACTGATTTCCCTTCAGCTTAGTCTCCATTTCAGAGGTCGCCACAGTGGAATAAACCACCAACTATACCAGCATATGTTTTACACAGCGGATGCCCTTCCAGCGTACAGGGAAACACTCACACACACTCAAACACTAGGCCCAATTTAGTTCATCAATTCCCCTATAGCACATGTGTTTGGACTGTGGGGGAAACCGGAACACCCGGAAGAAACCCACGCCAACACAGGGAGAACATGCAAACTCCACACAGAAATGCCAAACCAGTGACCTTCTTGCTCTGAGGCGACAGTGCTAACCACTGAGCCACCGTGACACCCCCAATACCAGCTCACTTTGAGAAAAGATGGTTCACACTTATGCCGAGTTCAGACTGCATGATTTTCAAAGTAGTCGTGTCACAGATGTTTTCACACTGCATGACTATCTGGGCTAGCGTTTCGTCGCTGCTTTGTTTACACTGCAAGATGGATCGGCGACAGGGATTTTCACATTGCATGACTTTACTAAAGGAAGAATCGCCGGCCACTTTGTCAAAACTACGTCTCACAGCCAAAAACACGTCGTATATCTTTTGTTATTAACTACATAATGAGAAAGAAGCTTTTAATGGGGTAGAACATGTACATGTTTGCTCATCTGGGTTTAAAGGGAATTAGCCATTTCTCCTCAACGTTGATAATAAACTAATTTCTTTCTGTATGAAACGTCAAACAGACACGGTTGCTCCTGAGTCCTGTCAAACCTCCACTAGTTTTTCCTCCATTTCGTGGGTCCAAATAAACTGAAAAAGAGCTCTTTTAACTTCTCCCCCAGCCTCCCGCTGGCCTGCAGCAGGTATACACACACGCACTCACAAGTGAATGCCGCTCTCTCATTGGCTGTAGGCGATCGCTGATGTTATTTTCAGTCAAAACTCAATTCACACGGCATGACTTGAATCGCCGACAGCTCCAGATATTCAGCATGTCAAATATCTCGCAGGCATCGGCGACTCATCTGTGATTCTCTCAGATCGCGTCTTTGATCGTTCATACTGTGTGATTGTCACTCACGAGCACGAGCACAGATTTGCCTGTGATTTCAGGCATTTGTCGGCGATTTCTCAAAACCTGTCGGCGAGACAAAATCGGGGCTAAAATCACGCAGTCTGAACTAGGTATTAGGTCAGACTGGAATCTGTGTTACCCCTTTGTACTTGCAGTATCTTGCAAGAAAATGTTTTGTTTTGTTCCTCCCCAAAAGTTCCTTCGGTCAACATGGGGATGAATCAGATGATTCATGATTTTTCGGAAAATCTGGAATCCGCTCTGGGATTTTTTGTGGAAATGTATATTAAAAGACTGTAATTTCTGCTATTTTCATTCTACATACAAGACTTGAATTAGTGCAGGGTTTCTATAGACATCAAGTCAAATGTTAGACTTTTTAAGAGCCTTTTAAGACCATATTGAGTTAAATTTCAGACTTACACAAGGCAAAACGCAAACGATTTGTTTAATGGAGAATTAAAAACCTTAAAAAAACATTTGTTACGGTAGGGAAGATAATTAAACCATTTAAATAAGAAAATAGAGTTTATAAATAAACATTTCTTAACTTTTATTGAAATATATTGCTAGGTTTTGGGTGGGTGTTGGGCCAATTGGGTATAGCTTTGTGTGGAGTTTGCATGTTCTCCCCATGGTTATGTGGGTTTCCTCAGGGTGCTCTGGTTTCCCCCACAGTCCAAACACATACGCTATAGGTGAACTGAGTAAGCTAAATTGGCCTTAGTGTATGTGTGTGAATGCAAGAGTGTATGGGTGCTTCCCAAAGATGGGTTGCAGCTGAAAGGGCATCCACTGTGTAAAACGTATGCTGGATAAGTTGGCGGTTCATTCCGCTGTGGAGACCCCTGATTAATCAAGGGACTAAGCTGAAAAAAATGAATAAATGAATGAATAATAATAATAATAATAAACCAAATAATACAAACTTATGTTAGGACAACAAGAAGGAATTAAGCTAACCAAACAGTTTTTACACATTTATGTGAATTAAACATAAAACAATGAACTTGTCACAAAAACCTCTAGAATTGTGTTGATGCAGCAAATTTTAAATAAGTAGTTTGAACAAACAGCAAACATCTTTTTTTTGACTGTATACCATTGTTTTATCATAGAACATTTTTAAATACATGTAAAAACATTATTATAATTCAATATTTTTATCAATTCAGTTTCTAATTTGTATCTATCTGTCACTTCCATCCATACATCAAAAAGATTTAAAATGCTAAATATATGTATATTTGGAAATTATTTAATTATTGGAGATTTTTTAGGTTGCTTAAATTCTATACAAGTTATTGTTTTAATTAAACTAATCAAGCAATTTATTTAAATTTGTTTTAAGATTGCTGATGTTCACAGTAGGTAATGGGATGCCATGGTTCTCAATATTAAACCGTACGGTACGACCTCCACGGTTCAATACGCGCTTGTGAATTGCAGTTTTCTCGGTTTTGCGCTTAAATAATTTATGTGCATTTTATATCTCCCCGAATTGACTGTGTGTGCCTGTAAATCCATTAGCTGAGATGAGGAAACTGTAAAGTTGAATAAACACGACGTTTATTTAGTAAGCACACTTTATTTCGTTCATTCCCTCCTCGCACACACACGAGACATCTTCAACTGAACTTTTTCCCTCATCAACCCCGCCCCTGCGCGCCCCTGCGCGCTTTCTCATTTGTAACCCGGATAACCTTCTTAGAGGTCAACAAAGTAGAGAGATAACAACATGTTAACAGAAACTCCTCCTGGCGAGTAAATATCCAATCACTATGCTCTAAAGTTAGGGGGCGCTTGACCATTATCCCACACTTTAACATGGCGAGCAGCGGTGAAGTGAGGCAATAGTACGAGGAAGCGCCGGCGAAGTGATGAAACAGTACGAGGAAGCGCCGGCATCTTTCAAATCTGTGGTGTGAGGACATTTCGGTTTTGCCGGTAAGTATAATGCCAATAAAAACGATGAACAAAAAATAAATGTGCAAGCATTGTTTTACACGTATAACCATGACTGCACATCTGCAGCGCCATCACCCAGTAATATCACTGTCTAAAGGAAGGACAGCAGAGAAGGTAATAAAGTCTAAACAGCAACAATCCCTCGCTGAATCTTTCAGCAAACAAACCCAACTGGTTCTGAGAGACACATAAAATAACAAAGGCAGTGCGGGTGTTTATGGCTAAAGATTTGCAGCCGTTTTCGGTGATTGGAGATGTGGGCTTCTGTCATCTTATAAAAGCACTCGATCCGCGTTACAGACTACAGTCTCGCAGTTTTTCAGCACCGAGATAGTTAAGAGGGGTTGTTGTTGCGCGCGTGCTGAAGAGCGGTGTTGTCGCCGCGCGCGTTCTGATCAGCTGTGTTGTCGCGCGCGTCCTCAAGAGCGGTGTTGTCGCGCGCCTACTGAAGGGCGGGACCGAAGGTGTGTCGCGTCGCGGGGGCACTTTTGATCATTTTGGAAGGGCACTTTCTATCCAAGACTAAAAAGGGCATGTGCACCGCCCCTAAGGGGGGCGCCAGAGTTCACAGGGGGGGCGCGGGAGAGGATAAGTATTGAGGTAGAAAAAGGCATAAAAATGCTCCACTATTATAAAGGGCTTTGCAATTAATCGAAAATACGATTTAGATTTCGGTTTCAAACGATTATAAAAAAGCATTAATCGAGATAAATGATTATTGCATCATATTTTGCCACGTTCCAGTTGTACACGTGTTGCTCTTAACAATTTATGTCTAATAATAATTTTCCATTACCTTTTAAAGAATTTAATGCTGTGCAAAAAGCAATTCCGTTAGGCCTAATTCAACTTATAAAATCACATTTAATGTTTAATGAAAATGTTATTAAAGAACCAGAGCTGATTTTAAATGGAATTAGTCTATTTGACAACAAATGTAATAATAAATATATTCGACAAATTTTTCAAAATAAAAAATATAATGTTCCTAAAGGCAAATTTTACTGGGCATCCTTCCTTGACACAACAGACTGGAAAAAAGCCTGGCTATTACCTCATAAGTACTGCATTTCCAATAAAACAAAAGAGGTTCATTTCAAAATTCTTCATAAAATATACCCAGTAAACGGTACTTTGGCTAAGTATTTGGAGATTGACAGTTTATGCACATTTTGTAAGAGTGAAGACGAAACGCTGATTCACATATTTTTTCAATGTGAAAGTACAAAAAACTTTTGGAAAAACTTATATCTCCATATAGGTAACCACATTGCTTCTTCCAGACCCTTTCATCTTCAGGATGTCGTTTGTTATTATGGAGGTGGGGCTGATATATCAGAGAATTACATTATTGACTTTTTTATTTTGTATGGAAAATATTTTATCCATAAACAAAAATTCTCCTGTTCGCAGCCTTCTTTTTCACATTTTTTAATAGAAATTGGTGTTTTTATTAAATCTCTTAGATTAGTTAATAATAAGAAAAGTGATAGATTTTTAGTTCTTTATGATAAATATTTTGGAAACAGCACGGTTACATAAGTCCTCCTTTCCTCTTGCTGTATTTGTGTTATGTATGTTTAATTTTATTTATTTATTTTTTTTTTCTCCCTTTTGTTTCTTTTTTTATTTAATTTTTAAAGTTTATATTGTTTATCCTGATCTGTTATTGTCATTGTGTTCTTTTGTGTAAATTGTTGAATTTTGTATGTTTGTTATTGAGGTCAATAAAAAAAAAAAAAAACACGTGTTGCTCTTAAAAGCGCGAAAGAGCTTATGTGTGTGTGCAGCACGATCACGCAGTCAGAAGCATGCGGCCGGTCAGCATTCACTCTCATTCGCACACTGAGACGAGCAGAGGAGCGCAGACATCTAAAGTCATCTTAACGTGAACGCTTTAATGGTCAAATAGGTGTCAAAACGCGGTGTTTAGTGATTATTCATATTAACCCTCATTTGTGTAATAAACAAACGAGTTGAGGATCAAAAGACGTGAAAGAGAAACCATTAAAGAGACAGCGAGAAATATTCCTTCTGCCGCCTGTTTTTATCATTATTAAACAAACATAACAAGAAAACCCTCGCTGCTCTTGACTGAAGGACTGCTGTAGCTTAAGTGTTTTTCTTACAGTGAAGATGCTTAAAGCACAGTTTGTTTCATATTTTTGTTCTATTGTATTTATTTCTCTTTCCTTTGCAGGGTGGAAAATAACTGTATGTATACAGTTGAAGTCAGAATTATTAGCCCTCTTGTATATTAGCAAACCTTTTCCTGCCCAATTTCTGTTTCATGGAAAGAATATTTTATTAACTTATTTCTGAACATAATAGTTTTGATATCTCATTTCTAATTACTGATTTCTTTTTGTCTTTGCTATAATGACTGCACATAATATTTTACTAGATATTTTTCAAAATACAAGCATTCAGATTAAAGTGCAGTTCAAAGGCTTAATTAGAGTAATAAGGCAAGTCATTATAACGGTAGTTTATTCTGCAGACAATCAAAAATAATATTGACTTTAAATTGGTTTCAAAATATTTAAACCTTTCTTTACTCAAGCTAAAATAAAACAAATAGAAGAAAAAATATTATAGGAAATACTGTTAAATTTCCTTGCTCTGTTAAACATAATTTGGGAAATATTTATAAAAAAAAAAAAAAATCTCAGGAGCGCTAATAATTTTGACTTTAACTGGCAATGGTTTTGAATAATCGTGATTACAATTATGACCAAAATAATCGTGATTATGATTTTTCCCAAAATCGAGCAGCCCTACTATTATAAATGTATTTTTAAGTACCAAAAAAAAAATTTAAACACATACTTAAAATTCCAACATAATAGTGAAAATAATTAAAATAAATAACTTTAAATAATTATTTAAATTTTGCTCACTCGCGCAATCTGCTTGTCAACGTGTCGTAAAGGCAAAATCAAAACAAAAATGGCAGACAAACGTAAATGCAGTGATTCTTCAGAGGCGAAGAAAAAGATTAGACAGTATGACAAAGCCTACCTAAATTTTAGTTTTATTGAAGGCCAAGACAAGTTAAAACTGATTAATTTATATTTTCTATACATATTATATATTAATATTACACAAACACACACACACACACACACACACACATATATATACACAGTACATATGTGTGTGCGTGCGTGTGTATTTATATGGTGGGGGGCTCCAATGTTTGTATATGTTCATGGGGGGGGGCCTCAAAGAAAAAGGTTGGGAACCACTGGCTTATAACAACATATCAGTGTGCTAAAAGCAATTAAGCAGTGTGTGTTTTCTGTACGTACATGTATCCAGCAGGAGATTGCAGAGCTCCAGCATCAGCTCATGACTCGGGACTAAAGAGTGCAGAATCTGAACAGCAGGAAAAGCAGAATAAATGAATCCTCCAATGAGAAACTCCACATTTATTCTCCAGCTGAATCTTTCATACCCTCAATGTGCTGATGAGCTTTTCCCTTGGAGCGTCGTGTCTCTTCAGGAACTGGTACAGATAAACATGAGCGTTTGGGTTCGATGGAAACTCCTTGTTGTATGCGTAATTCTCCAAAGCCTGCAGAGCGCTCTCCTCCTGCTTATAAAACTCCAACATCTGCACACAAACATGTTAGAAAAGCTTAGTTAAGTGAGGAATAACGGATTGAATTACTGTAAAACATTGCACACCTGAGGAATAATGATCACTCCGCTTGACTGAATCAACTAGTTTCCAATAATTCAACAGATCAGAGTCAATTATTCTGCTTATATAAAACTCCCCACAGCTAAATCCACTGTTCAGATTTAGTATTCGAGATGTTATTTGTCAGGTTTTTGTCCTCAGACTGTTCCTGTGTCTAGCACTAGATTCTTCCACATTTCCCTCCAAAGTCTTCTGTTGTGTTTGATGTGATTTCTGACTGTTGTAGCTGTGAAATAACTCAAATTAGTGTAGTGATATGGAGCTGTAATGCACGCTAAACCTGCCGGAACTACTTTATCTGTGCACAGGGTTCCTGCATATATCAATGTCAAATTTAAGGCTTTTTAAGACCTATATCGAAATATCAAAAACACGCCAGAGAAAATGTAAAATTACAAAATTAGTGGTAAAATAAATGTATTTATATTGAACAGTACTAAAGATAGGTTAGATGCACCAATAAAATATAGAAAAAAACAAACAAACATCTTCATGCTGATTTATACTTTCACCTGGCACCGCATCACACACCTCACGAAATGGACGAGGCTTTACTTGACACGTTCGCTATTGAGATATTTTTTTAAATGACAGGGGGCGGTCAAAAGAAACACAGTAAAATCAGACGAATAAAAAGAGAATCAATAATATCATTGAAGATGTTTTTTTTGGGGGCCTCTTATTTTGTTTTAACAAACCTATCTCTCAGGTTTTTTCAAACTTTTACAAAAACTTTCTTCCTTTCCCACTTCTGTTGCAATTTCAAGCAAAGAATTATTGATCATCTAGTACGTTCTCCCTATGATCACGCTTGGATGGATCATAAAGATGTCGGTGCAGATATACCTGTTTCTCTTCAGAGTGTTTCATATTCAACTCAAATCAAATGAGGCGCCACGTGAACTGTTCACTGGAGTTTTAAAAAATTCTATTAGCTCCGTTAAGGCGTTATTTCACTGACAAATGTCGTGAGCGCATTATTACAAGTCAAGAGTGCATTCAAGTAATTCGAGCGAGCGAATCTCTTTGCTCGTGCACCGATTTCCTCTGTTTGTGAAATTTTCTCACTCTCAAATACGCACTGCTCTCGCACAAATGTTCTTGCGCAAAAATGTGGCGCGCACCCACAGCGAACCTCCACAAACACAGCGATGATGAGTTTAAAAACAGAAAGCTGATTGGCTATTGCATGTTGATCTCATTTGTAGTTGTAATACCGCAAATTACAATTGGACTATTGAAATAAAGAACTACAACACCACATAAACCTAGCAACAACAAAAAAGAAAAACTTAAAAGAGCATTAGATATAGCATTACATGGACATCAGAAAATAAGACCTGTGCCAAAATATTTAAGACCTAGAACAGCGAATTTAAGACTTTTTAAAGCCTTAAATTTCGATTTTTTAATTTTAGACCTTGCGGAAACCCTGTGTGTATTTATCTGAACATAACCAAACACATTTGAATGCTCATCCGCCGATGCTAGTTTGTTTTGTTTTTGTTTATCTGTTGATTTATGTATGGTTAATTCATACGATTACTTAATGTTGTTTTCATTAAGGTATTAACATTATTTCTAGGGATGCACCGAATATTCGGCCACTAAAAGATTATTATCACCGAAACAACGCGGTCGAAACAGTATGTTGTGATGACGCAATCAGAAACCGCGGCCTGTGCTGTGTATGTCTAATGCAGGATATCTGCGATGTGTCTATTTAATCTATTCAGATGATCTGCACTTCATTGCACAGGTGCTAGATTTGCATAAATTGATTCGCTAGAGCTCTTTATCTCTCACATGGTCGCCCACTGAAGCTGAGCAGGGCTGCGCCTGGTCAATACATCAATGGGAGACCACTGCTGGTCTCACTTACACCACTTCCGACAAAAACCTAGCTTTTCCATAGATGTACGAACACTGGAGTGTTTTAAAGCCGTGATTCATCAGCGGATCACTCGTATGTCAGCTCATAGACAAACCAGCTGATCGACATGACTTTAAAATGCTCCAGTGTCTCTGCATCTGTGGTTACACTCAGTGAACAGCGTTGAGTTCGGTGAACTGATGAGCTTCACAGCCAGTCATTTCTGTTGAGCATGTGAACACAATGGCAAGTTAGCCAACTCTCAGAAACTCTGCTTAGACCAGGGGTGTCCAAACTCGGTCCTGGAGGGTGGGTGTCCTGCATATTTTAGTTCCAACCCCAATTAAACACACCTAAGCCAGCTAATCAAGCTCTTTCTAGGTGTACTAGAAACTTCCAGGCAGGCGTGTTAAAGGAAGTTGTAGCTAAACTGTGCGGGAAACCGGCCCTCCAGGACCGAGTTTGGACACCCCTGGCTTAGACCCAAGCCATTCTTGGAATAAAGTTTGAGAACCACTGCTATAGAGATACAGGAGATGTTTTTTTCATTAAAAAAAAAAAAAAAAGGGTAAGTTCTCACATTAACGTAGCTCAGCACAAACGGGTCCCAGATTCCAGGCAGACTGATGATGTCCTTCAGAGTCACTGACGCCTGTCTGAAGTAACTGTGCATCTCATGATTACTGCTCAGCTCCTCTGACACACAAAACATGCACAACAACAAAATCAACTCACTGTACAGCAGGGGTGGCCAACCCTGTTCCTGGAGATCTACCTTCCTGCAGATTTCAGTTGCAACCCTTATCAAACACACCTGCCTGTAATTATCAAGTGGATTTCAGGTCCTAATTAATTGGTTCAGGTGGGTTTGATCAGGGTAGGAGCTAAACTGTACAGGAAGGTAGATCTCCAGGAACAGGATTGAGCACCCCTGCTTTACAGACATTTCATATGACACAACAAAAAGATTAACGGGGACCTATTTTTACAAGATGTAAAATAAGTCTCTGATGTTCCTAGAGTGTGCGTGTGTGAACTTTTAGCTCGAAATACCACACAGATAATGTTTTCTAACTCTCTGGAACTGCCCTTTTTAGGCTTTGATCCAAAGTTTGGCGTTTTGAACTACAGCGTAATTGAAAAGGAAGCTCTAGCCCTGTTACTGGCACTTCAACATTTTGAAGTTTATTTGGGAAACAATCCTCAGTCCATTATCGTGTACATTAGGCTTGGGCGGTATTTCGGTATTATGGTATACCGCGGGATCTAAAAATAGCAACGGTGTCAGTTTCAATACCGTTATACCGTCATAAAATATTAAATATCCTTTATTTAATGCCTACAAAAACGTATGTGTGGTTGCCATCACGGGACAGTGTGGAGGAGAGAGAGAGAGGAAGAGGGAGAGGGAGGGGGAGAGGGAGAGGTGACGTGACGTGTCGCGCTTCAAAGTGTCCTGCAGTTTGGCAGTTTCGACTGAACAGAAGGGAGACGTAGTTAATATGAACGAGAGGTCTGCATTAGAGATGAAGATCTTTGCCCGAACCCGGCGAGACCCGAAAAAATCCAAATCCCTGCATTAAAATCCATCCCTGCAAAGGTGAAACAAATGATGTAGTAGTAAAAAAAGCGAATTATTACGGCGGTCAAGCCAGTCACTAGCTCAGAAAGAGCGCATTCCAGCCGCAGGTATTTCGCGGTCGCTCATACACTGCGTATTACGGTAGAGCCCTAAACCGCAAGCTGACAGATAAAAAGACGAGGCCTCTCGCTACAATGAAACTACAGTCATGGAAAATTAAATGGATGTTCCTGACTGGTAGAAGATGAACAAACAATCCTACCCAAAACTTGCAAAATCAGCCAGATCAGAACTCTGCATCTCGACCTGTAGCAGCAGGAAAGGGTGTTCAGCTGCTGGACCCCGTGAGCGCAGGACTGCGCTAAAGCCAGTGGATTTAAAAATGTTCCTCCACAAACACACGTAGCCTAATCTTGGTGAGTAAAGGGTTTTTCAATTATAAATAAATATTAATTAAACCATATAATCATAATGTAGACAGAGTATACAGGCTAATGGTGGCATTATTCTTTTATTATTCAGCTTCACCGCCGCCTTAATGCCAGATTGTGAAGAGAAGTTGAGAAACAAACCTTGCAGAGCCTTTATCTTAATTTCGTTATTGCCAAAATACCCGTCATCATTTAGAGTTTATTTTAATTTGATTTGTTAAGAAAGATTTTTTTACATTTGTGTGTTGGCCAATTTAAAGGCTAAGTGCATCTACCTAGACCTATAGAGTGCTGAGATGTTACGATGTTACAGAGGACTTACTTTAGCTATTTCTTTGTTCCAAATTTCAAGTGGCCTATAGCCTAGTCTACGTTTGTTACGAATAAATGATGTTAAAACATATAAATGACTCATTCTTTAAAAAATGCATTAGAGCTGTGTGCATGAGCACATTTGAATATTGTCGGGCTGTAAATGGGTTCGGGCTTTATAAAGCTGTCAATCAAAATGTACCTGTCGGACTCGGGACCTATCGGGTATAATTTTTATGGCCCGATTACAGCTCTGCATTCCCGCTGCAGTACCGCGGGAGCCGGCCAGATTTCTTATGGTGTGGGAGTAAATTTCTGAATAAATCGCGGGAGAGATGTGCGACCATAACCCTTTGGTGTTCCTTTCTCGCATGTCCGGTTCTAACCAACGCTTATTACGGTGGGCCCTTACCATCCAAGAGTACAACCTGGACATTCAGCACAAGAGGGGGAGTGAAAATGTTACGGCTGATGCTCTTTCTAGAGTGTAACTGTGGGGTTCATTTCTGACCCAGGTACCTTAAGCAATGCGATAAGGTAAAACAATCTTGATTACAAACCTTGATTTGTATTCTTAGTGGTGGGGGTGTTACATCCCTTGGATGTATTTATTATTATTATTATTGTTTATTTATGTGTTTACTGCCCATTGGGAGTGGTTATGTTGTGTGTTTCTCTTTTACTTTCACTGTGTGTCTCTGCCTGCTCACTAGGTAGAGTTGATTGGGCCCAGGTGGTGCTCATCATTGGAGCGTGCTGCAGTAATGCGCTGCTACAAAAGAGCAGTGTGTCTCAACCCACGGAGAGGTTCACTTCTCCCCTGCTCCAGACTCGTGATTGTTGTGGTATAGATCTGGTGGGTTATAGAAAGGAGTTTCTATAACCCACACACATGACATGATGGAAACTAATGACTGACAGGGGTGAGACACAGGTGAAACTGATGAACATTAACAAATGGCGGGAACATGATGAAAACAAACACACATGGAGAATAAAAGCATGAGTTAATACTTCACACTAGAGGATTTTAAGCCTGATTTGAGCCCGATTTGGAAGTTAACGAGCTCGCCGACAGATCAGGCTGTGATCGGGAAGAAATCTGCGGGTGCACGGTGCTCGCCTCTCTTTATGTGTGAACTAATGAACAACGCATCAACGAGGCTCGCTGACGCGTCGCCGACACCTCGCAGACGGAAATCCAACATTCAGCATGCTGAATATTCCAGAGCAGTCGGCCGACTCAACCCCACGTGTGGTCAGATGTAGTGACGAGTTGCAGCCAATGAGAGAGCAGATCAGCATGAGCTCAACAGAAACATCTGTGATTGGTCAGAATGGGCATCAACGCACTCGCTTAACATATACATTAAAAGTAGAATATATTAATATTATTAATATTAATATTATTATTATATTAATATTGGAAATAGAATTCTGTAACTATTAGAATTACCATACTATTGAGATATTAAAATTAAGCTTTGAATGTCTGGCATCATATTTAATGACACCATTACCCTAAAAATATAATCTTTTTTTGGTAATACAGCCTATAAATATGTAGTTAAGATACTAGAACACGCAAAGGTCTTGGCTTTCATTTTCACTTTCAAACAGGAGCTATTTAACAGCACAGAATATGCTGTTTTGAAAGATATCTGAAGTAAATTGATGTTTTTGCCATCAGAAAGTTTTGTTTATGTTAGCAGGAAGTTGCTAGGCAAAAAATGCACACATATTTAAAGTCACAGCGAAAAGTATCAGACATGCATGCAGTCATTTTGACCAATATGGTAATTTAAGGCAGAAATGCTCAGTTCTTTACTGTTTTGTAATAAAAAAAAAAACAATGTCAGAAAGAAAAACACTGATAGTTAGAAAACGGCAGGGTGTTATAGATATGTTAGTTTTATTTCAAAGAGTTATACAATTACAAAAATTAAAAACTCTCTGTGTATCTATCCACTCGAACCTTGCAGATGAGTGATTAATCCTCTGATAAATCAGCTGATTTGACGATGTTTTTAAATGCTTTCTCCAAAGCTTGAAACGCTGTCAGTGATGTAATCGGCACACAAGCAGCCAATAGTGTTCAGCTTTTTCTGACGACTCCTCCCTAAAAATTTCATTGGCTGTGGTTTGGTAGCTTGAATGAGCTGTTGGGGAATGAGATGTTGTCAGATCATGTAGTGTGTGACCCCCCTCTTGTGGATCATTCACAGAGTGTCGCGTAGTGTGAACACCACAGAGATTAAGACACAAAGTCAAGTCATGTAGTGTGAACGGCACAGCGATCTGCTGATGTTTAAAATCCTGTAGTGTGAACTAGGCTTTAAGATCACATGACGAATACATGGAACACAGCAGACTGAAAACAGAGCAAACATTATCTTTGTGAAAAAACTGAGTTGTGACATCGCTTTCCCCCTCTGATGACACGTACAAAGGCAGAATGTCAATTGAAGTGTTCCTGCAGACTATTTATCAAGTGTGATTATAAAAAACAGAATTAGAGGCTGGCTATATTCACACACTGGTGCCACACAACTGCATTTAAACAGCATATAGAAGACATTTTTCCATAATAGGTCCCCTTTAATATTATAATATTATAATATTATATTTATATAGCAGTATCTTAAAGGGCCATGAAACCCCCTTGTTTCAGCAGGGTGTTTTCACACCTCTACTTTGGAAAAAGTCAGAAAAGTGGGCGTGTCCAGCTCTGTTTAGGGGGGAGTGTCGGAGGAAGAAAAGCGGCTTGGTGTGGGAGTGTCTATTTGGGCGCGCTGAATTTCAGAGTCAAAACACACACACACACAGCGGACAATGTGACTGTGTTTACATGGACATCTGTAGTCGAATTATTTGCCAGATTATTAAATGGTGGACTTTAACTGCAGTTTGGCTCTTTCATTCAGGGAATTCATTCATGTCCCTCCCGACAAACGTGATATTTGATTCGAGGAACTGCTCTAAGCGTGTATTTTTCATGCAATGTTTGATACCGCACGGCGAATGAGAGAAAAAAACTCAGCATTTCCCGGAAAACTTAGATGCACACGGCAGGTAGCGTCAGAAAGCCGCGTGTGTTATTCCTGTCACAAAATCCAACACGAGGTTATAGTTTGGTTTTAACTGTTAGTGCTAACTTGTTTACACTCAATAGTTTGTTGGATACGAATAAAATACGAACTGAATAAACAAAGAGCACTGGTCGCTCACTTACCAAATCTGTAGAGACAGGACAATCACCAGCAACTAGAGCCGCGTCTTTATTAAGAGGAGACTACAAGCGAATCCGGATCTCAGCGTTTGCAGATGAGAACAGCTCTCAGGTAAACAATAATCCTCCTTGGACACGTAAGTTATTGTTGTCGCGCGTCGCGTACACTGTTAATCCACACGTGACTCCAGCTGAGCTCTCACAGAGAGAAAATGAAAACGAAACTTAACGGCAGCAAACTATAAAAGCAACACTTCACGCTTGTTTTGCCAATACAACGTGGCGTCTTTGCTGTCTACATTGTGACAGTAATGAATATTAATGAAGTTGCACAATAGAGCGCGCTGATTGGTTTGAACCAAGCCTTACTCATGCATTAATGCATCACACTGTAAGACGTAATAAGACTCACTCTGGCACAGACGTCCAGTCTGCACGCTGGAATACACGCTATTATGTCATGACCGTGACGCAGCTTCAAAAATTCGTTTCAAACCGGAAGTACAAATTTGCTTGGAATAACGCAAAAACAACCAATTTACACTTTTTAGTGAAATATAGGTGTCCTAATAGTGTTTTTAGCAGTGTGGGACACATATACGACTGTCAACAGCTCAAAACATGTGTTTTGGTGTTTCGTGACCCTTTAAGTTTGAATGCACAACAGGACACTTTATGCTAGATTTTCTAATGTCAGTGTATTAAATGTTACCGTTTTCAGACACAGAGGACTTCTTCTCGTTCCAGATCAAGTAATCCAGTAAGCCGCAGTAGGCTGTGATCAGCGTTTTGCTCAGTGATTGAGATCGGGATACCCTTCCATATCTCCAGCTCTCTGCGATGGAAAGCTGCCGTTTGGCTTCATCCATCTGTCCGTTCAGCAGGAGATGATAGCAGTGCTCCAGACTAATCTACAACAATCACAAGTAAACGAATCACATGCTGATAATGATGCAGACTGGGGCGCTCTGCTATTGGAAATACATGCTAGACACTGAATGCAGAGTAAATATGGAAAGTTTGAGAGGTTTAATAGCACGCACCTTTGAGAAGTTGAGGACCCCGACGTTCTTCAGCTGTTCATATAAAGCGTTGAAATCTTCATTGCTAGTGTTTGGGAGATGATGCAGGATTTCTGTGCCCAATCTCCACAAGATCTGATGGACACAATCAATACACACCATTGAAACACGCTGCGTATGCACAGCAAATTCATCAGAGTTAAATTCTTGGTGTTGAAGCATTTCAGAGTGAAGTGTTGACGTTAAAGAGTTAGATTTTGATAAATGAATATAATAAGAGTTAGAATTGATTTTATTCAGTGCGAAATCAAGGAGTTATCTTTTCAACACTTGGTGGTGTTATTTCCAACATCCGGGAATTCATGCGGCCCCAGTCACTGAAGAATTTTCCAGACGCCATTTTCCATCTGATGTTGAGAACAGCAACTGGTCAGTCAAACTACCTAAATGTTGGTATTTTACTGACTTTCTTTAAGGAAATACAGTTGTAAACATATTGTTAAGTTAATAACTTTAGAATGGAGTGACAATTTTAAACTTCTGCGGTTCATTCATGGTCGTTTGTGTATCTAGCTTAACTGCATTACTATTGACTTCTTTTCAAGAATGTTTTTATATGCTCACGCATACATAGTGCAAAAAAACATCAAATGTACATCTTCAACACATTTCTGTCATGCTTAATGCCATTTTGTGCGTTGTTACCCATCTGTAAAATAAAATCGACACTTCTCCTTTAATTCGAAGCAAACTAGCGAGGGAATCCCCGGAGCAGCCTAACGTTAGCCTACTCTGTCCGGATGCTAACGGCAACACAGGACGGTTTCCATAAGCTCTGGAGAGTTTCTGAAACATATCTGGTGAGTAAATGAACATATGTACTTGTATATTACTTGTAAAAGGCTTCCTGACTAAAACATATGATTGTTTGTTATTTGTGTACGTTAATTTGGTTATTTTAAACACTGCGGCCCTTTTAAACGGGTTCATTCGTGGTCGTCCATATACCGTTAGTCCATAGACTCGCGTGATAACGTACGCTTGAATTATATTAAGTGTTGACAACCATTAACCGTTGGAATGTTAACATTAATGTCTTTAAATGACCGCGTTTGCACTTTCTCAGACATTTAACGTTACAGAAGTCTCCGGAAAGTTGCGGGACTAATGTTAACGTTATCCAGAAAAATGCAGAGACTCCCAGATGCCCAAGTAGATGCCCGCAAATGAATGATAATCTCCCGGAAATCGCGCGTCTCCCGCCCGGTCATTAAACACTTTGCACACCCCTCTCCACCGCATCCCTCCCAGCTCTTCAGGTACTTCGCGCGTAAGTCACCCCCACCGCTCTTTAGGTACTTCGCGCGCAACTCATCCCATTGCTCTTCAGGTACTCATCTCTTCCGCCACCTCCCGCAAATCAACTCTGTATCCCCCGAAAATGACTTTTCCCAACTCGGGATGTCTGACGTTAGTAAGCAGTGTTGGAAAGGTTACTTTGAAAATGTAATAGATTACAGATTACAAATTACCCTATTTAAAATGTAATAAGTTACTGTAATTTTCGATTACTTTATAAAAGTAAAGTAACTAAATACATTTGATTACTTTTTGATTACTTTTAAGTTTTTAATAAACATTTTCAACTAAATAATTTTCAAGCATTTATACAGAGCAGGTGTGAGCTTACAGTAGCTCTGTTTACTGTTAAAATCTCAAAAGCTTTCATCACTTAAATAAAATTAATTTAATTTATTTAAATTTAAAGTAGAGCCACCACAAAACCAGACCTTATCACAAAAACATGTTTACTGTTGTTACAAAATCACAATGTTAGTTAGTTGTGCAGGTGATTCATGTGTCATTTGCAATAAAAAAAAATACATCTAATTTTTGCTAATTTTTTAAATCGAAGCCACTTAAATCCAAATCAATCACATCTTAGTGATCAATAAAACTGCCAATGAAACATATGAGGCAGAACTGTTCATTTCAATTATTTACTGTAAATAATATGCTGTACCAAACAGGAAAACATTATAGTACATAACAGCAAAAACAAAAAAATCCAATAAAACCAGGTGTTACACATTTTAAACAGTATTGATCCGTGATCGTTAAATGTAGCTTGTGTGGACACTACTGCACTAATAACATAGCTTCACGACTGTGAAAAGGTATTTGATTTTTTTAGCAAAGCTACCGTCACGCTACTGAGAAATGTAGTTCAGCTAGCTACACTGTTAATGTTATAACCTCACTTTGGCCAGAGGAGTCTGCTGGTGCCCTGAAATTCACAAATCGATAACTTTGTGAGTCATAATATATCATGGGAAATGAAAGAGTCTGTTTTTATTTCTGTACACTCAAGATAACGACAAAAAAACGGCTGTTTTATAAAACAGCGAAAGGCTTCCATAGCTGCAGATACTTCCTCATGCTTTTCAATGGCAAAGAGGATTAGATGCGGTGCGCCCATGACCATTAATTTGATTTAACAGTAGGGGGGACAATAAATATAACATTTCTTATGATTAATTTTTTAAAGATTTTTTGAAGGGGACACAAATAATACAGCTGAATTGTACTTCTAAAGATATGTCCCCACAGTTAAAAATGGTTTTATTGTTTATATTACAGCATGGAGACTACATTATAGTTATTTTCAAAGTTTTTCTCAGGTTCAATGACAGCAAATTTTTCTTGAAAACTATTTATTGCATTGTTTGTTGTGTTTACAGTCATCAGACTGACTCCTGAAGCCGAATAAATGCAGGAAAAGATGTTTTCCAAACTCATATAAACTAACTAGTTTACATTACACTTGTTAAATTGAGAGATCATATTGTAAATCGGTGAGCCTGTGAGGTTCATCTGCTAAACAGCCACAACTCAGAAAACATAAAAAAGAATTTGTTCACCCCTAAAGGAATTGTCATTATCCCTTCAGTAAAGCACAACACCCTTACCTGACACTGTACATCTGACTGAACCTGCTCTGCCTGTTCCTCAATCATTTCTTTCTCCTTTGCCTGTGATTGATAATGTGACATTAGTATTTTCATAAGCACTCATTCTGAAAGCCAAATTGCTTAATATGTGAACTTTTTGTACTTGGAGTTTAGCTGCACTGAAAAATAATCTTATGTCCATTTTCCTTTTCTGTCATTTTATCGTTGAGGTAAAGTTGGTTTCATATTCGCAAATTCAGTCTCTCATTAATAATATAACTTCAGAAGAGTACTCATTAGAAATTCTATATAGTAAAATTATATTAGCTGTCAACAACCAAAGTACAGCATTGTTCACATTCAGTTAATAGTGCTAATATTATATTGTTTACCTAAAGGTTCTATAAAGATGTTGCAATTGATACAAAATACAGCAGCCAGAGTTTTAATGAAATTGAAGACACGAGTACATATCACAGCAGCATTAATAGAATAAATTTTAAGATTATTTTATTAGTTTATAAGGCACTACACAACATGACACCTTCTTACTTTACTGACTGATTACCAAAATATAATCCAAACCGTTTGCTACGCTCTTCTAGCGCTCGACTTTTAGAACTTCACTCTGTAAATCTGATGCGATCTGGCGGCACTTCTTTTAGTCACTATGCTGCAAAATCTTGGAATTGTTTCCCAAATTTAGTAAAAGAATCCCCAGGAATTGATGTTTTTAAAAAGCTTGTTAAGACGCACCTTTTTAAAATTGCGTATGAAAATAACAGTTTGTGAAGTTTATGCAATTTATGTACATTGTGTAGATTTATGTACATATGCATGTACGGTGTGTGTGCATGTATGTAAAGAATATTGCGTGTGATTGTGTAGATGTATGCATATATGCGTGTACATGTATGCTTTTATCTGAGTATATATTTTACTTTATTTGTCTATATATTTTTTTATTTGGTTTATTTTACAATGCCTGTTTGTTGTTTGTGAAGTGCTTTGAGTTCCATGTATGTAGGAAAAGTGCTAAACAAATAAAATGTATTATTATTATTATTATTAATGTTGTTTTGAAGTCATACTTGCATGAGATTTCAGTTTGAATATTCAAAGTACCATGGTAAATGAATGTGCGAATATAAAACCAACTTTACCTTAATCATTTTATCTAGTCCACGACACTGCAATGCAAGTTTATTTATACTGTAGCACATTTTATACACAATGCTAATTCAAAGTGCTTTACATAAAGAATGAAAAACTATCATAAAAATCATCACAACAATAAAAACAAGGACATTTTGTATTTTAAATTACTTTAGTCACTTAATAACAGAACTGAAATTGAATATACAAAAAATAAAGTGGGGCTAGTTTGGACGTAGCACAGTGCTCATTTAACAAATCCACAGCTAAACAATATGCTAACTGTGTTCGTTAATGTAAAGTTAACATTATGCCAAGTCGTCACAAATGAAACAATGCATGTGAAACGGCTTTGGTGTATTATTTTGCAGTGCACTAACGTATGCAACAAGCTAACGTAAACAAGCATACGTTAACTACATAAGCAACTAATTTATAAATGATTCTGCATTAACTACATTGAAGAATCGATTTATTTAATGTGATTTATACACCATACTTACTCAAACTCAACATTGACCCGTTGCCACACACCTAACTTCTGTTTCTGTCTGTCTGTGTGCAAATGTGACAGGTTGCGAGAGGAGTATGTAAAACGCCGGCAGTGGATCAAACCACTATGAGTAAGCGGGGGTGAACTCTTTCTAAATGCATTTTAAATAATAAATGTGTGTTTTTTTCCTACTAAGACAATTATTTTAGGTATACACAGATATATTTTTCACAATAGAGAGTGAGTTTTTATATATATTTATATATGTTATTTGGTGAGGAGGACAATGAACATGTTCCCCCCGGGATTTACGCCCGTGGTTGCGCCGCAAATCAAAAGCATCAGAGCTTGAATAAATGGCCTTAGCAGAAGCTATCGTGCATGTCAAAAACAGGTAAAGCAATAGATTAATATTATGCAACATATCACAGAGTTTTAAAGAAAAATATTAGATGTAACCCCATTTGTAATCTTTAACATTTTCAAAAGTAACTGTAATTTAATTACATATTTTTCTTAGTAACTGTAACTAATTA